TTTTCTTTCTTAATGACAGGATGACTTGTTGGCTTACATTCATCTGTTTCACTCTGTAGACTCTGGGCCATCTTCTTAGGAACTGTTAGCCTGTCTGTATTTTTTGCATTTGATTATTTCTGCCTAAGCATATTCATTGCCCTTTCTTTGAATTCTGGTTTTAGCCTATTCCTCCAATATAAGAGATTTTTTATTTTTTTTTTTTTTTTTTAATTCCAGTGTTGTCCATCATACTTTCAGCCCTTCTGCTAAATGTGTCACCTGGAAACAGGACAAGCAGAGTCATTACATTGCTTTCTGGCAATGTGCTGTTGCTTTGTCCAGTGCTCACAGACTCCCCTAAGTCCCTAACTGCTCAAATACTTTTGAGTATCTTGCTGTAAGTGTCCCTGAGACACTGCCATGTATCCTATAGGTCATTCAGAGAAGTGAATCCAGCTGGTTTAAAATTTTCACTAGAAGCTGGTTCACCTTTCTAAAAGTCACCTTATACGCTCATCCTCAGTGTGCAGTGATGTGTTGCTTTTTTTTTTTTTTTTCTGAGCTTATTTTATTTGTACCTTGAAGTGATGATGGTGTCCAGGTTGATTTTTCATAAGGTGATTTCCCCCAATCTTCCCAGTCCTCTAAATTATTTGGGGTCTGTTAAAGAAACAGCTTTGTTTATTCTCATTGAACCTGTTCATTGTATGAAGTCCAGCATGCATGTGTAACTGTTTACAAAAGTGTGGCCTAGCTCTGTAAGTTACCTAACCTACTCCCAATAAAAAAATGCTAGGAAAAGAAGGCTGTAATAACAGTTTGGGAGGGATTATGTGCTGATCAAAGTCAAAGCAGCAGCTCCATTAAAATGTGAGGATTGCAGAGGCTTCAGAAAACATGGCCTGGTCTAATGACAAAGGAAATTATTTTTTAAACCCCCAATTCTTCTTCAGAAATATTGTCTTATATTTCCCTTACTATTTTCCAGAAGGTGTGTACACCTCTCAGTCACTATTCTGAAATTCCTGTCTTTGTACAAAGAAGTATTCCTTTCCATCAGTGCAATGAATCAGTCTTTTCCCCATGCTTTTCCTTAAAGACTAGGCAGTGGAGTTGGCATTCGATTCATAAGCTTTTGATCCATACTTAATCCTAGGATGGCATGCATCCAGAGCATGCAGAGCGTTGGATATTGTGTACCTAGTGAAGTAGCTGTTGGTGTACAGCACAGTAGGATACTCTTTCGTGTTCTCAAACAGCAGCTTTAGAGTCTGTTGGTGTTCCCTGGGTGGGTCTTTGGGGAGAGAGGCTGAAAGAGTTCCTGAGAAGCAGGGACTTCTATTTACTTCCCTTTCTTCTCAGTGGGTTTGCAGGAAGGTAGAATTCAACAGAGGTTTTTTGGTTTTAATCCTCGAGCTACTTAGGCTGCAACCATCATTTCGCAGCAACATAATCCTGTAAAATACAATGTGTAATTGTTCATTTCAAAATGTGCTCTTAAACCATTCAGAGAATGTTCTATGAAAACAGTGGAATTATTTGCACTTTATTTGGTGAGAGTGTAGTTAAAGAGACAGAAAAGCAATGAAATGTAGCAGTAATGATACACAACTGATGACAGAAATGTTTCAGTCTTTCTCTGCTTACAAGAAAGATATACGATGTAATCCTGATTGCCTGTAGGCTTTCAGTCCAGGTATAAAGCAGTGCGGCTCTGGGAGATGCCCAGAAGTGTGACTTTCTATGGCAACCTTCAGGCAAATCTATTATTTCATTCAGTTATACTTTAAGATACAGAGAAGGATACAAAACACAAGAGAGTCCAAAGAAAAGAGATGGAGGTTATGTTGGATCACAGTTGCAGACCAAAGCCCTCTAGAAAGAGTCTGAATCATCTCAGAAACTTCTTTGGAAAGTAAAGGGCTTTGCAAAAACTGAGAAGAGTGATGCAGTCTTAGCTCTTCTCTACTGTTGTGCTTTATGAGACCCGAGTTTTGCTCCCCAGGCAAGCTGAGGTAGCTTTGCTTCTGCTGTCCAGTTCCTTGATTTGGCACTTGAAGAGACTAGCAGGCCATTTTTAAAAAAAAAAACCCTCAGTCATCAAGAGACAGCAGGGCATCATAATCACTAATGGAACATGAAAGGAGTGATAGGAAACATCAATAATTCCTGTTAAGCAGAGCAAATGATAATAATATTCAGAGAATAAAGCCAAAATAGCACTGAACCTTTGACACTTTTAGGAAACCAGGCAGTTGTGTAGGGAGAATGTATTTTCAGAGTTTCTAAAAATGCTCTAGAAACCCTCAGTCTTGTTGAAGCAGAGGCTCAGCTCACTTGGGCAGAACAGTTTATTATTAGGCATTTTACAGGATTGTGTGTGTCTTCTATTGCTTCTCCCACATACGTCTCCAAATGTGTTATAGGGTGGTCAGTATCATTGTTCCTGCTGTGCTGAAAGGCCAAATAAGCACTCAAGAGTTGATAATTTGCTTGGGGTTACCCAGAAGCAAAGCGTAGGACTCCAGAGTGCTTGTTGAATACGTTATTCACTAGATCACTGTTCCCTGAAAAGAATCCACCCAGGGAAGGTTGGCACAATATATTCACACTGACAGAGATCACATCAAAGAGTTTGACACCTCAAACTGACAAAGGTGAAGCAAGAGCACGGAGTGATGCATTAATTTTCTTCTAGTCTCACAGCAGGTTAACACAAGAAACACTGCTCCAAGCCAGGTGCTGTGCCTTGCTGACAAGCAGCCCACCCCCAGGCCAGGCTGGCTCAGCCAGGGTCTGTGGTCACACTCTCCGAGTTCAGACTATTTTCACCTGGAGGTGGAAGAGAGAAGTGATAATATGAGATACATTTACTTTGCACACAAGTTCTAGGAACAGAAAAGAGAAAAACTCTCTGGCAGAGGGAAACAAAACAAGAAGAGTATTTAGAAATGCCATACTATGTATTTCATATTTGTCAATTTGTATTTAAAACTGTTTCGGATGTGCCCTTTGAAAGCGTGAGGCTGCATGCATGAAGAAAGCACCTATTTCCCTTATGTTTTGAGCAGGGAGCCATATGTTTTAAAAATTAAAAAGAACAATTAGCCTCAGAGAATTAAATCTGCTCATCTAGGTAGCTGACTAGCTTTCTCACAGAGATGGCTGTCCCAGAACGAAGCTGAGGAAACAGGGTTTAGAAATGTAAACATTAGTAGGTGTGTGGGAACACAGATTAAGAAAATTCTCAATTTTAATTATTTTCATTTACTTTTATTTGCTGAGTTCCTAGGCTGACATCAGAAGTTACATCTGTCGAGTTGCTAGCAGTGTGGGGTATGGAGGCAGAGGGCATGGGGACAGGGTAGGCTCCGTCCCCATGTTGACAGTAGAATCTCCGATGACAGCATATTATCTGATGTAAGAAATCCCTAAGAGAAACAGGAGCTTCCCAACGTCTCCCCCAAACATGGAAAGTACCATATAGGGGTAGGGGTCAGCTCAGCAGGAGTTTCCAGGCCTCTGGACACTTAAATCACATAATTATTACAGATACCTCTGGATTCTCTGCTTGAGGTTTCCCCGTTTTCCTTGGAAGGATTACGGCTGGAAGGAGGATTAAATGATAAATTGAATCATGTGAGAGTGAGGGAATGCCTACACAGTGAAAGAAAGGGTGACTGGAGAGACTTTTTCATTTCAGTGGATTGTGTGGAATAGAAAAATACAGATTTAAGGCATTATGGTGACTAACACTGTTCTTAGATGCACAAAGTTTGTGTGTCGTGCCTGTTTTAGCTATGAGATCCTTGGGGTAAGGCCTGTGGGGTTTTTTAGATCACCTAGCATAGTATTGCCCTGGTCTTGGTGTGGTCCTGGAATGAAAACATTAATGATTATTGTTTTTCATGGCAGAGGCTATGGCAGGCTGCATTTACAAAGAGATACAGTTTATCTGATTTAATTATCTACTGGTTAAACAAAACATGTTAATCTTAGTTTTCTGTTTGGTTTTGTATTCTAAATACTATATTCAGGTGAGAAATGTCCTTTTCAGTGTCTGACAGTTACTTTTGTGTGACCTGAGTAAGTTACTAAAAATCAGAATGTATGTAGCCCCAAATGTCAAATATATCATTACAGTTGGTTTTCAGTGTCCATTTCAGTCTTGTAGATTTGTGCTCAACTGCCGTCATGGAGCAAGAGATAACAATCCAGGGCCTCATTGGTATCAACCACTGGACAGCACTCAAAACATCTAGCCATTTACCAAGCAAACACAAAATCTATAAACCAGTGTGACGAACCACCTACTACTCCTTTCCTACTGTTCCTTCTGTTCTGCAGATACAAATTAGATGAATCTATATCACCAAGAAATCCGCAGACTCTTAATAAAATGTCACCCTTCAACTCTACTGCATGTTTGAAAAGGCAAATAGGAAATAGGAGCACTCCTGTGTCTTTTCCATGCCATTCATTATTTTATGGAGTTCTTTCTCACGTTTATTCTTATTTGATTCCTCTATAACATGACCACATTTGACTTAGTATCTGTTTTGCTACTAAGAACAGAGGATACTTCACCATTTCACTAACCTGCTTTCAGATAGTTGTCATTTCCCTTTAATTTTGTGCTTTTAATAATTTATAGCTAAGTAACAAGAAGTTGCTCTGGAATTTGCTTTTAAGGCCAGGTACATTCCAGGAGCAAAATATAGAAGCATTGTTAACATACCATTCTAAGAAACACATGTTATTGGGGTTGTTTTCTTATACAATTGGGTTGAAATAGAATCCAACATCTGATCTGGGAAAGCTTTTGTGTCAGTATAGGCTATTTTCTGACTCACCCAGGTGAGTGGACTATGTGAGTCTCATTCCTTGAATAGGTGAGTGTATAAAAAGCTACAGTTTATGTTTATCAATTTTATTTGAAAGAGGATGGGGAAAGTAAAATGGGGATCCACATCTATCAGTTATTTTTTCCTTTTTTAAACTCCATTTTTATTTTGCAGGTGATGGAAATTAAAGGACAAATGATTCATGTGCCAGAATCAAACTCAATTTTGTTTCTGGGCTCCCCCTGTGTGGACAAGCTGGATGAATTGATGGGCCGAGGCCTCCATCTTTCAGACATACCTATCCATGATGCTACTCGCGATGTCATATTGGTTGGGGAGCAAGCAAAAGCCCAGGATGGCTTGAAGAAACGAATGGATAAGCTGAAGGCAACGCTAGAATGTACACACCAAGCCCTAGAAGAGGAGAAAAAGAAAACAGTAGATCTCCTTATTTCTATTTTCCCTGAAGAGGTGGCTCAGCAGTTGTGGCAGGGACAGCAGGTTCAGGCCAGGAAGTTTGATGATGTCACCATGCTCTTCTCGGACATTGTTGGCTTCACTGCCATCTGTGCACAGTGCACGCCCATGCAGGTCATCAGCATGCTGAATGAACTCTACACACGGTTTGACCATCAGTGTGGATTCCTGGACATCTACAAGGTAATAGCTCAGGTCCTAAGTTATCAAAATCTAATTGCAACTGAGGTATGAAAAAATCCCAGTAGCCATCTTCCTAAATTACAGACCCTCCTTTTAAAAATGGAAAGGCAATATTTTTGTTTTGCATGAAAAAAAAAAGCCCTGAATTGTGCACATTAAAAATCACTCTGATGCTGAGCTTACCCATGGGAATATATGCCTCATATTCCCATTTTCCTATAGGAATGTACACCTCCTGTATTATAGCCAGGTTTCCTTTAGGTGACGCAACAGCCACAGTGTCCTAAGGATGATGAAGTGAACAGTGGTGATCCTAGCCCAAGCTGCAGCTCCTGGAAGGCACTCAGATACTTCCTGTCTCAGATAAAACTTGAATGATTTAGGGTTTAGTCACTTACCTTTCCCCTGCAAGAATTCAAATTTTCAGTAAAGAGCAGGTCATTCACTAAAATAATTATTATAAGTGTTAAACTTTCACTGTAAAACAGGAAGAGGACAGCAGATATCCATTCACAGTAAGTGTAACGAGTGGGACATGGTACTGGGCTGCCGTGCTCCTTCACTGCTCTGCAAAAAAGGGGATGTTGCCTGTGTTGGTCCTGTTACAGACTTCATCACCTTCACTTCTCTTTAGTGGGTTTGGTGTACAGTATGTATTTGAGAGAAAAAAGAGGGGAGGTAGAATTTAATAAATGAACTTAAGATATTATCTGTGTAGTCATCCTGTGAAATCTACAAATAACATGGTTTATATATGGAATACCTTTAATTTTGTGATAGGAAAAGCAGAGCAAATTTCTTTTTATACCTGAATGCACCAAACAAAAAAAAATGTAGTTCTAAATAATATGTTGACTCCATTTTCTGTCTGAAGCTTGTGAAGTCAACCATGTTTTCAACCTGTTTCAAATAGTATTTGTTGATAGGCTATAAAGTTTTTCACCACAGTGTCATCCCATTTATTTTTAGCCTCTAATCCACTTTAAAAGGCATCCAAAAATACTAATTACCCACCTAAATAATAACTCTGGCTGAAAAGTTAAAATACATACCACAGATAGAACTGAATGTGGTATAGATACAGGTGGTTAGGACAGCATATAAAAGTAAAAGACCACACTGTAGTAAAGTTTTGTGCTCTTGGGCTAGGGATTTGTATTACTAACACTCAGAAGCCAAAGGCCATGTTGGGAGAGGGCTACAATGGAAGGTACTAACACTCATTTGAGAATTGTTGTGGTGTTACAGTCAGAAAAGATTGGAAGCTAGATCTCCATTTGTATTAGTCTGATGTTCCTGCACTGGATCTTGAGCCAGCTCTGAGAACAGGATTTGAGGAACTTCTGACCCACAGTCAAGAATGATATCTAGTGACCCTGCTTCATATGCTGTATCTGGTACCTGGGTGTAGTTAGTGTTTTCCCAGATGATTAGTCTTAGTTTGCTGGTTTGAGGCATTCAGGACATTCCTTGTTGAAATAGCATAGGAAATAAAGTATTTAAAACTCTATGACCTGTTTGGAAGGAAGGTTAGTTGAGTCCTGTGAGAAGGAATATTTATACATAGGTCATGAATGTTGTATTATTTAGACCATGGCCTTCTTCCATTCAGCTATCTTTGTGCCACTTGATAGAAAGATGTTACTGTATGGAAATACTGTCCTGACCAGTGAAATGAGACGATGATTGCTAAGATAGGCAAGATAAGATTTATGCATTCAGAAAAGACATAAACACTCAAAAAAGTTAAGACCCCAAGTAATTGTATGAGCAAAGGAATAAACAAACCTTATTCTTCTATGGGAGGATGTCTTACACCTCTAACACCATTTCCCCTCTATTACTGCCTTAATATAGCCAGTTCTATCTCAGATCCTTTCATCCTGTGTTTTCCTTTATTTCCCTACTCCCACATGTCAACTGATCCTTCCTACACATCCCCTGCTTCCCTCCACAGCCCACCCATGAGCAAGGCAGTGTACACTGTGGCTATTTTGGAGTTGTGTGTACTATTTTTTTTTTCTCCCGCCAAATCTTTTTTTCATTTGTTTTTTAACCAGAAGTCTAAAAAAGTTACTGTGGGGTTAAGGGAACATTACTCAGTTGAGCATTACAGAAAGACAAAATTCAGGCAATGAACCCTTTTCCTTAGAGAATCAGGCTTAAAATAAGATGACAATGCTTTTGAAAAAGCACTTGCATTTTAAAATAAAACCAGCTCGTGTCTTTCTATCTTTTTCATTTGTTTCAGGTGATATTCTGGAAGCTAAGTTTATTGCTAGGAATGATGACCACCACAACAACTATAATTTTAGAATTTGCTGTCAGGCAGTAGATTTTAGATGTGTAATCACCAGTGTTTGTACCCACAGCCAGCCTCTAAGACATACTCCTGTAACCAGGCTACAGAAATTTATCATGTGACCAATATATACATCCAAACAGATAAATTTTCAAATTTGCTTTTTTTAAAGCAACATGGCAAGAATAATTTGCAAAGATTATTGGTGAGCACTTCTGAATACCAAATTAACTGTTTTGTAAACAGAAAATTAAGCAAAATTCATTAAATAGATTCCATGCAGTAAATTATTCCGTGCTGTAAATTTTTACTGTCACAGCATTTTGAATTCAGAACCTTGGTGCTTCTGATCATGGACTCAGATAATGAACATAATATTTTCAATTGTCTCATAGTTCTCAGGGATGTTTACAAAGCAGTACAGCACAGAAAGAACAAAGATCCTCGCATTTAACAAGTCAGACATAGAGGGCAAGCATAATGAGCTATTGGGTACAGAATAAGAAATGCTTTGAGAGTGCTGAAGGGATGAATTACACTTTGAAATTTCTTGGAAATAAAAGTAAGAAGTTATAACTGATGAAGTAGGGAAGGGATATCCAGTAGATGGATGAATAGGCAAGAATGACACAGGCAGATGATGGGCTCAGAAAATTAACTTCGCAGCAGCATTTTGAATGGATACCAAAGATGACAGGTTACGTTTGTCCAGGCTGAGGAAGGACATTACAGTAATTGAGATGCACGGTGATAAGAACCTGGATGACAGTTTTAGTAATCTGGAAGAATCTGTGTTTTAGAGAGTGTAACTTTGGAAGGAATCTGCTCACATATAGGCTTGATGAAAAGATCAAGAGGGACGCTCTTGAGGTGATCACAGAAGGGAGAGAATGCCAGAGAACCTGGCAGTGAATTTGGAAATTGGCACTGCTGACTATCTGAGCTAATTATTTTTAACTTTGAATTTACCTTTGAATTGAGGAATGGGAAAAAAAGATGCTGTTGAGCAGGGAGTGCTAATCAAAGCAATGTAGATGCAGATGCTTGGTAAGCTAGTGTCTGTGGACATGCGAGTAGAAACATGGACTCCAGAAGCAGAAGTGATGGTAAAGAGAACTCAGTGCATCTTGAAGTTAGTTACTTTGAGTAAAATATGTACTCATTGGCCTGACAGTTTGTGTCTTAGTTTTGATCTGTTTTTCTCTGTATCTGAGTTCCTGTTGTTTCTGAGCCAAGTGCTGGGAAACGATGCTTCAGCTAAACCATCTCTTTGTCAAATAAGCTATTTAGATATGCTGCAGCCATGGCTGCTGGCATTTAAAACTTAACCCTGCAGACTGAAATCTTCCCCACTTAAGATTCCTGCAACTTCTGATTCTCCCTCAAAGAAATATGTCTGACATAGGATCATTTTATGTATTTTTTCTTGTTGAGTCCTTTTTCTTGTGTAGGCCTGCTTTCTCAGCTGTTTTCCCCTCAGTGTCCTTTCTGAAACAATCCATTTTCCTCCCTCACCCATTAACTACTGTAGGGAGTAAGAGCAGCACGTACTGTGGCAGCTTTTTTGGCTGTGCATGCACTGACTGGGTGGCTGTCTATTCTGGCTGGGTAACGCCAAGCCAAATAGAGCAGAACCAGGCCTGCTATTCCAGGTGTTAGTTCCTTTTCTCCTTTCTCTGAACAGTGCAGCATTTGTCCTTTGAAGGCATTTCCAGATACTCTCCTAACACTAAACCTCAATTTCTGTGAAGTGCTGAGTCCCACTTCCTATGTCTAAGCAAAGAGTCCTAAATGTTTTTGACAATGAACTATTGGTAGTTGCCAAAATTTTTTTTTTTTGCTATACATTTTTGCTGTCAAAATTTTAATTGAAAGTTTGTTGAATATTTATAAAATAAGACAGTGTAATTCTGCGGGTTAATTTTATGGTTATAATTCATAACTTTGTTACGTGATTTTCTGCTTTCTTTTTGGTTTCATTATTTGGCTTAACTGTCATTCTCTCTGAGTGGTGCCACACACATATCTCAAAGTCCTTTAGCAGCTTCCTTGGGGTTCTCCGACTATTATTCCTGGCAACATTATTTCAGTTACTTTACAGCGAATTATATTATTTTAGTTATTATAAATGATACAGCTAGTACATCAGATCTTCATTTTCTGATTTTATACAGCTAACTTTGGCTACAGCCTTAATTTTTGCTCATTGTAAAGACCCGAGACCATAAAAGGGTAGGTAATCTGGACTGCTCTGCAATCATTCAAGACATACTCACCAGTTCTGAAAAATATTGTTTATATTGAGATTGTGATATAATGCTTTTAGGAACCTAACATCCAAAAATACCACTTTACATTTTTATACTGGTAGTTTAAGATGCAGAAATCAGTATTCATTTTACAGAAAATACCAGGACTTTCTTACTGCCAGGACGATCCCTCCTTGAGAACTGATATTTGTCCATATTCATATACATGTTCTTAAGCTTACTATCAGTGTTATAATGATTAAATGACTGCAGTGACAGGAGTCGTGAGCTTCTGACTATTCTGAGATTTTCTAGGCTTTGTAATTTGTAAGTTAAAAACCATAGCCTCCAAGTTTGCATGTAAAATCTACAGCCACTATTTTTTTGTCTTTCCATCATTTCTACAGTTTTAACCTTCTAAGTTCAGTGCAACTACATGACCATTTTGA